CACAACCTACACTGTCAATTGACAAATTGTTACATCAACTGGTAAATTACGATTTTGTCCTTTTATATCAATTTAAAAAATTGTAATCTTAAGAAAAAATTTGTCATTTTAACTTCAAACACTATTTCAACACATTTTTCAATAGAACAACTTAAATAAAAATTCATCTCATCTTTCCAAACACAAAAACTAAAATAGCCTACTAAAATAGTCAAAAAATCAAAAAGCCTCTAAAATAGTCACTTCTCAAACACCCATATCATGTGATGTTAAAATTTGACACAATGAACGTTAAATATATATATATATATATATTACATTCTAGCATTGTGTTAAATTAGACTTCTTTTTTTTTTAAAGTTAGCTAATAGTTTACCCATTAAAAATAAGTTTACAAAAAAATTAATTTATTTGACATATTCTTAAAATTATTATTTTTTTTAAAAAATCTTTTTTAGAATGGTTAAAGTGTCTTTTTAGGTAACAAATAGGTTTGTCAAACAAGTTAAATTTTTTTTTTTTTAACAAAATAATTTTTGTAAACCAATAATTTTGTTTTTAAAAAAAACCCTTATTCAACCATGGACTTCTTAAAATTTATTATGTTGTCCCAAAAAAATACTATGAGCGGCCAAATGTGGTGGTGACTAGCCTTGCTTAGTAGCTAGAAGGGATGGGAGAAGGAGGACGTAAAGTTATTTTATTTTATTTTATTTTGTAAAATAAATGAAATAAACTTTTTTACAATTAGAAGAGTTCAATAAAGAATTTATAAAATGTTTATAAGTTTTTGAAAATGAAAATAGATATTAAACAAGTTTTTGTTTATAATTTATAATTTTTTTTATAAATATAAATAATAATAATAATAAAAAACCTATAAACATAAAGCATTATCAAACATGCTAGCAAATTTTTTAAAAAATTGCATTAGAGCTGCATGAGTTCGATTGCCAAATAAAATAACTGAAATCATACAAAAGAAAATTTGTAACATTACCAACAAAAGTGAGAGGCCCATTTGATGTAGTAACCAGATTCAAATCAGCTGTTCGGTTGGTGTTGATGAAGTTGATGTTTTGTTGGACAGTCATGTCGTTAAAAACATCAGAGAAGAGGGTATGATATTGGCAATGATATTGTGGGGGTAGTTGTTGGAGGGAAATTAATCGCTACAGTTTACATTTTTTGGCAACCATAACAATTTACAAAATGCCTATTCCTTTTCAGTTTTGAAATTTTTGTAGAAAAGAGAGATCAAAAGTGATAGTCATGCTTGTTTTGTATTGTAGATGACAATTTTGGTTGCTGCTTCTGTAAGACGTGAGCTGCCTACCATCAACTGCTATTCAGACCTTGATAAAGCTTTGCAAATTCTGACATCTATTGATCATAAGTCTATTGAGGTAAAACTAATGGGCATATAATATTTTAAGCTCTGCTTTCTTTTCTTTTTCTTTTGTTTTCCTTTTAATATTAATCATATGTTTTATGATTTGAGCTTTATTTGTATTTATTTATTAATTAATGTATGTAGGCAGTGAAGGTCTTGTGGACTTCTCAAGACGACGTTGAAGACTTCCCATCTTTGAAACATGTAAAGAACTGATACTATAATTTCGCAAATGTCTATGTGAAGTTGCAAGGGACAATTATTTGAATGATATTTAGTGAGAGAATATGCTTTTCAAGTTTTAGTTTCGTCAACATATAGTGACGGAATGAAGATTAGTTTTAAGCGATAACGAAGTGGCAACACATGGAAAATAAAAAAGAAAGCTAAGATAGTGAATTGGGACAGAAGATCCCGCGCAAATAAGAATTTATCGACGTTGTTTTAGAAAATTTGTGGAATATATATTTTTCTTTATTGATTTCACTAATTAAATAGCTGATTGGTCATTTTAGTTTAGCAAACGACCAATATTATTTTTTTAAAAAAGAACCCTACATTTATTTTATTTTATATTTTGAGTGGGGTTAAAATACTGAGAATAACAAGCAGTACTAAATTTTAAAGTTTGATATAACCATTCTGGATCATCCATTGAAGACTCCAATGCTTGTTGACATTCTTGAGAGTCCAATAAGCCCAACCGAAGGTGGCCCGCCCATACACTTGCAATTGGGCTTCAGCAAACTTTCGGTAATCCTCTTTTGTGGCCCCATTCACCCGCCATTCTGCAGCCCATTCCCCTGCAAATTTAATTTCAAACAAAAGGTCCAATCATTTTCTAGTAAATGAAAAGAGCAAACAAGTTCTATTTACATAAACTGGTAACATTTACGAAAATTTTTACAGTTTATTTTTAGTAAAGGTGAACATAAAACATATTTGGTACATATGTTTTATAACTTTTTTTTAAAACAAGTGAAGGGGGGTGGCTTAAAATACTTTTTTTTAAAACAAGTGAAGGGGGTGGCTTAAAATGATTGACTACGGTTAGAAATGATAGTTGAAGGTGATTGCCAATTATTGGAAGTGCACCCTTTTAAGGGTGTTCTTGTCCGTTGGAGGGTGTTGGTGATGGCTATGAATGGTTGCCAACAATCGGATACGGTAACCGGCCACCTAAGGTGCACTACAACATTTTATTAGTTTAGTGACATTTGAAAGTGCCACAAAACTATTCTTCTAATGACATTTTTTGGTCTTGTGGCATTTTGAACAAGTGTCACTTCTATTGGTGCCACGGTAGTTACGAGTGCCACGGTAGATACTTGCAAGTGTCACCACTAAAGTATGTTTTTGTTGTAGTGGTGGTGACTGACAACCAAAGTAAAAGGAGGTGATTACTAGGTAGTTGTTGAAGGAGGTCACTGAGGATGGTGGCAAGAGATAGGCATGGGAGTGGCCAAATGTGGTGGTTGGTAGTGGTGATGAGCGATGCTTGGTAGCTAGAAGGGATGGGAGAAGGATGACGTAATTGGAGCGGCCAAATGTGGTGGTGACTAGCCTTGCTTAGTAGCTAGAAGGGATGGGAGAAGGATGACGAAATGAAAGTTATTTTATTTTATTGTGTAAAATAAATGAAATAAACTTTTTTACAATTAGAAGAGGTAATAAAGAATTTATAAAATGTTTATAAGTTTTTGAAAATGAAAATAGATATTAAACAAGTTTTTCTTTATAATTTATAATTTTTTTTATAAATATAAATAAATAAATATCCCATAAACATAAAGCATTATCAAACATGCTAGCAGAATTTTTTTTTTTTAAAAAAAAAAAATTGCATTAGAGCTGCATGAGTTTGATTGCCAAATATAGTAACTGAAATGATACAAAAGAACATTTGGAACATTACCAACAAAAGTGAGAGGCCCATTTGATGTAGTAACCCGATTCAAATCAGCTGCTCGGTTGGTGTTGATGAAGTTGATGTTTTGTTGGACAGTCATGTCCTTAAAAACATCAGAGAAGAGGTTGTAATAATGTACATCAATTACTGTTCTCTCTAAACCACTAGCAAGAGGAAATAGTTCTTTAGGATCAACTTGTCCTAACCGGTTTGACATAACCACATAAGCTGTTTTGGAGTGCTTTCGAACAGTTTCATAACCAGCTTTATAGTACTTGATTATACTATCTAGTGATGCTCCAGGTGCTAACGGCTCATTGATCAGCTCAACAGCATAAAGGCTTGGGTTGTTAGTATACCTATAAAATCATATAACAATCAAAAAATAATAATTTGTGTGAATTTGATTGGAGTTGATTTAACAATTATTTGCATTAGTTTTAGTCAATTTAATTTTATTAAAAGAGATATTAGTAGATTTTGGATCATGTTGTTTGGGCTTGTGTGGTCCATCACGGATCTCATCTCGATAATTCAAACTATTTATTTTTAAACCACAACGTGTAGATCATCGACTAAAACATTAAGTTGATCCGACAACAATAACTACATTATTTTATGACATATACAAGTGAAAAAAATAAATGATAAATATTATTTGAAAATTAGATAATCTATTCTTGAGAGACAAATACAATAAAGTAACGTAGTTACGGTTGTCGAATTGACTTTTTTATTTTTTTATATATGAATGATTTACGTGTCGTGATTTAAAAAATAAAAAATTTTAATTATTAAAATGAAACCTGTGATAAGATTCACGAGACCAAACAACATGGTCTAGTCCAAGGTGAATTGAAGAGAATCTGATTCTTATATTAGAAGTGTAAGTAGATTGTATTTTTTTTAAACTTCAAAAGTGAGTTTTGCCCATTTTTCTTTTTCTTGGGTGCGTGCGCCTGTATGTAAGTTCAATTGTTGTAGCAACTCTAATCATTGCTATATATCGGGGGTGTTTGGGAAAATGAGTTTGAGACTAAAATAGCCTCAAAATAAAAAAAAGTCTAAGTCCTTAAACTAACACTTTATATTAAAATAATAATAATAGATAGCTGAAACCGTGGACAGTGTAGGCACATTGACAAGTTCTGCCATCCCTTGATGAATGACGATTTTGCCCTTTTACATCAAATTTGAAAAAATGTGATCTTAGAGACAAATTTGTCATTTTAACTTCAAAAATCATTTCAACACATTTTATAATACAACAACTTAAATAAAAATCCATCTCATCTTCCCAAACACAAAAACTAAAATAGCCTACTAAAATAGTCAAAAAATCAAAAAGCCTCTAAAATAGTCACTTCTCAAACACCCATATCATGTGATGTTAAAATTTGACACAATGAACGTTAAATATATATATATATATATATTACATTCTAGCATTGTGTTAAATTAGACTTCTTTTTTTTTTAAAGTTAGCTAATAGTTTACCCATTAAAAATAAGTTTACAAAAAAATTAATTTATTTGACATATTCTTAAAATTATTATTTTTTTTAAAAAATCTTTTTTAGAATGGTTAAAGTGTCTTTTTAGGTAACAAATAGGTTTGTCAAACAAGTTAAATTTTTTTTTTTTTAACAAAATAATTTTTGTAAACCAATAATTTTGTTTTTAAAGGAAACCCTTATTCAACCATGGACTTCTTAAAATTTATTATGTTGTCCCAAAAAAATACTATGTCATGTATTTTTTTATATAAGTAGAAATTACATTTTTTAACTTATAGTTTGACTCAAATTTTAATATGATATTTATTTCAATTTAAACAATGTAAACCCTAAACTTTTATACGTGTACTCCTCATGTGAGTGACATGTGCTAAAAATAATTTATTTTATCTAATTTAAATGGAATGACTAAATTGAAAAATGAAAGTTGAAATTTATTGTGAATATTGTTTAAATTGAAATAATGAAAAATAAAGTGAAATTTGAGTCAAACTAAATTCAATAAACTAATAAAATTAAAACAACAACCACTATATTATGAGCATTTTTTTTTCAAAAAATACTAACTATCAAATTTTATTTAATTTAAAGTTTGAATTAAGCTAATAAATTGAAGTTTTTAAAATATTAATTATTGGATTACAAAATTTTTAATTAAGATTTTAATTTAAAAAGGTTGCGAATACATATGATTAGGTACACATGATCTTATCGTATGATCGAAATTGGATCATGCTAAAACATGTGATTGTATGTTTGTACCTGGCAGTTAAGAAGTCTATAACATTAACTGTCTGTTGTATATTTTGGTTAGATAATCCCCATTCTTGAAATCCATCTTTGGGAGAACTATGCTCAAAACCATTTTGAGAACCTGGTGCAGCATGTAGGTCAATGATAACCTTAATGTCATATTTTCTGCAAGCAAAGTAACACCAAGTTATTAAACATATTTATGTTTATTTTTTGTGAAAACGGAAAAAATAGCATGTTTAGCACAAACATGTCTTCAAAAACTTGTATTGAAAAAAAGTGAGGAGGTAGGTGGCAACTAGAGGTGAATTTTGATGGGAGGCGATTACTAGTAGCCAGAGGCGAGTGGTGGCCTAAGAAGGCTAGGGGAATGAGACAATAATGAAAATTTGTTTTCAAAATAAGTGATTTTTTCGAACCAAAAATGATTTTGTCAATTGAATTAAGATTTTTTTTAATAAAATAATTTTTTTTTAGTCAATAAATTGACTTTTAAGCCACAATCATTTGGCAACAGACTATTTTAGTAACTTTTTTACTTTTTATGAAAAGATGTATATATATTAGAGAGACTAATATGATAACTGTGACTTTTTGACTTTTTGGTTAAAATATTTAGTTCCCAAACGAGTTGTTTGAGTTTAGGGGTTGTTTGGGGTGTCCTAAATAAGTACACTTTTTGTCTTTTTGGACTAAAAAATTGAGGAAGAAAATAAGGATGTTTGGGTTAACTTTTTGACTTTTTATGAAAAAATGTGTAATAAAAAATTGTAAAAATTGATTTGTAGGGAAAAATTAGTATTGGAAGTTGTGCAGCCGTAATTGTTGACTTTTGGTGAATAGTGTTAACTTTTTAACTTTTTGAATAACTTTTTGACTTTTTGACTTTTTTGATTTATGCCAAACTTGGCCTTAGTGAGGAATGCAAGTATTTGAGTGAGAAATCTATTTGAGCTATGAATCTAAGCATTTTAGGTTTGATTCTTTGTTTGAATTTAATAATTTTCACTACACATATAGCCTTATTGATACACATAATTTATCAATAACTATGTGTATCCAGGATTTACTTTGCAGAAATTGTGTGATGTAGTCCCATTTTGAGGAGATTCGTCACTAAAAAAATAAAAATAAAACAAAAAAAGTACATACCTAGACCATAGGAAGGCATTGTCCAAGGCTTGCAAGGATCCCCCAACATAAGGGTGTGGAGGTTTTGGATCACTGGCAATCCACCACCCTACTGGAATTCTCACTGCATTTATTCCATTCTTTGATATGAACTTGAAGTCTTCTTCCACTATGAATGTGCTCCAATGCTCCTGAAATCCATTCAATCTAATCCATCAATTTTTCTTTTCATATAAAATATAAATTTTGAATTCGTTCATTGTATACGGATCAGTTCCAAAAATAATTATGGCTTCTTTGGCTGTGATTTGATTTCTTCTTTTTTGTTTTTCATATTTTTCAAAAGAAAATAATGAAAAGTTTAAAGGGGGAAAAAAAAAAAACCAATCACAATGTTTAGTTTCATTTTTCTAAAAACAGTTTTTAGAAAATTATACTTTCTTATTTTTCGTATTTTTTGTTTTTACTGAATTTTTTTTATATTTTATGCAAATTTTTTACTTTTTAGACACACCTAACATAAATATACCTAAAAAGTAAAAAAAATTGTAAAAAAAATCTTTTAAAAATTCACTAAATACCAAAAATACAAAAAAATACAAGAATTCAGCATATTTTTTTTATATATTTTTATGTATTTCTTAATTTTTTAAAATATTTTTTCACATTTTTTTTTTACTTTTTAGATATATCTTAGTAAGGTACATCTAAAAAAGTAAAAAAATGTTTAAAATTTTAAAAATATTCACTAAAAACAAAAAACACAAGAACCAAAAAACTCAATTTTCAAAAAACTTAATCCAGAAAACTCAAACCAAACATTTTCACTTAGTGAGAAAGCAATTTTTTGACTTTCCGTAAAAATTGAGCTGTTTGTGAAAAAGAAAAAAGAAAATTTGTGTGTTTTTGGAAAATGAAAAATGAAAAAACAACCAAACAGACTCTTATTTTCAATAATAAACACTTGTTAATTGCATTTTAATCCTCATTCACAGCTCATGATATTCAATGTTAATTCTATGTTAATATAGACATGGTTTGAATTCTCTCTATTTCTTGCAAGAAACAGACATATCCATCTCAAAGGATGCGATAACAACACATCATCAAAATCCTACTTTTAACTGTCAACAAATTGCCATGCCATTATGAGTTTTAGTGGGTTTAATGTAAAGAATTATTAGGATTAGGATTACTGTACAATCCTTAGTCATGGAATAAAAATCTCTCAACTACATGAACCTGAACCTGTGATATCCTTCAGTCAAATTCAATCAATTAGGAAAAATGAATGACTTGTAACTCGGTAGAGCATCTTACCCTCATAACTTGCGGTGCCTTGAGTGGACCATAGCCATTTGTTACTTGAAACTCGCCTTGCAATCTCCCGCTTATTGTCATGATAAAAACAGATGGATCGCTATCTCCCCAGCCACCATCTCCCTTTGAATCAGCTGTCACAAGTTCCTTTGTTTTCACCTACAAATTCATAATGTGAGAGAGTTTATATTTTGCATTTCTAATGCTTATACATTGCATTAATATATTCAAAAAAGTGTTTCAGAATTTGAGAATATGAAAGATTCATTTGGATCTAACAGAGTTAATCAAAACTATTATGTTTCATCAGTAGATAAAATATTCAAATTTTACTATAGGTAAAACTCCTCTTTCTCATATTACAGCATTAATAGTTCGTTTGGATTGGGTGAAATAGGAAGAAAAGAAAAATAAAATGCATATCTCTTTCATATCACTTGTTTATTTTTTATAATTGTTTGTTTAGATCAGTTTGTGTACACTTTAACTAAATTGAATGAGTAAAAATGAAATAAATGAAGTGAAATGAGAAAAATGGAGAGAAACTCAATCTTATAACCTTGAATCTCTCTAAAAGTGGAGATGTTAGGAGAAGAAAAATATAAAAAGAAAAAGAAAAAAGAAAAAAGAAAAAACTAGTCACTACTTTTTTTATAATACCATAAATGTCCTTTTAGATATCAAAGAAATATAAAAAATAAAATACTAACACCTATAAAAATGTTGTTTTGGTAATATAATTATAAATATATATATATATATATATATATTTTTGTCTTGTATGTAATTTAACCAAACAAAATAAGAGAAATAATTATATTATCTTTTCTTATTATCTTTTCTCTCCTATTTATCCAAAGAAAAGTAAGAAAAATGATAATTTTTTCTCTTATTTTCTCTTTTCTTCTAACTTATACAATCACCACTTGAGCCACGGTTTAGTTTGACGAACTAGTTAGAGAATAGAGTGTCTAATTAGTGTCGCGTAGCCGTGTGATACACTATCTATGTTGTACTTCCGACAAATGTGAAATACACTCTAAAAATACGAGTCTTTGTATCTTAACCCACTACAAGAAAATCCAGCTTTGGCGACTAAAAAATGAATTTTCGTCGCTGAAAGTAGGACAATCGGCGACTAAAATGGAATTAGTCGCCAAAAGTGTTCACTTTTGGCGACTAAGACAATTTAGTAGCCAAATGCATAGTTATTGGCGACTAAAATCAATTTCGTAGCCAAAAGTAAGGGTTTTGGCGACTAAAATTCAGTTTAGTCGCCAAAAGTGCAGATTTTTTGCTACTAAAAAAAATTAGTAGCTAAAAGGAGGGGTTTTGCCGACTAAACCCGACTTTAGTCGCTACACAAACAATAGCTATTTAATAATTATTGGTTGAGAGACTCCCCCGACCACTAGGTGGTGGGCATGTGCGATGTATATAGCCATGTGACCATTTAAATTTAAAACAGAAAAAGCAAAAACCAAAAAACAAAGTCATAGCTTGGAATTTGAGTTGATTTTTTAATTTTTTAAATATTTTGATCCGGAATTAAAAAAGTCTTGCTTGAGATGATTTTTTAGTTTTTTTAACTTTTATCAGAAAAAAAATAAAATAATTATAATTTGAATATGACATTTTATTTTATTAATTTTTTAACATATTTTACCTTTTTATGACTAAAAAAAAAAAAAAAAAAAAAAAAAACCCTAAAAACCTTCAAAAAAAAAAAAAAAAACACCCATGCCACACATAGCCAAAAGTGATCAAAGTGCCATTAAACGGCACACCACCACTAAAAATTCTCTAACCCATCTTATGATTTTTGTCTCCCAAGACAACATAAACATCAATTCCCCCTACAAAATATACCTTGTTAAAAATGAAGGGCATGCTTTAAAAAGATAAACGTTAATCTTTGAAAACAACAAACAAATAAAACAAAAACAAAAAACAAAGAGGGGAATTAACCTGTAAGAAGAACCCATTGGGTGCCTTGATGCGAACGCGGCTCAAGTCACCAGAATTCCTAACAATCTGAAACGTTTCTGATGACGTGCTCGCGACGGCAACCACATCAATCCCATTTCCAGTTGCGTGATTTAGTCCCATAAACTGTTTGTTGAACACTCTAAACTGAAAGGTCGTCTCATTGATCCTCCACAACTTCACAAAAACAAAAACAGATAAACACAGTTGTTTTTGATGATCAGAGTATATAATAAAACAATTAATTTTAATTGGGTTTTTACTTTGAATGTTTCCCAGCCTGAAGCAGAGGTCCTGTTGGCAACTATGATTGTTCCTCCACCCTGTTCGGCGCAAAGGTATTTTCCCACCGTTACTGATTTGAATTGCAGCTCAGTTCCATCCTAGTGAAATTTCACAGTCAGTTTCAAAAGTTGAGAAAAATGAATAATAATACATCAATAACATCAAAGATTATCATAATCAAACTATGGTTGTGTTTAATTTACAAAAAACAAAAGAAAAATGAATGGTAAAGTGGATAAAAATAAAAACTAATTTTTTGTCAACCCAGCATAGGTTGAAGATTAGAGAATATGTAATAAGTATATGTTTACAAACCAAGAAATCTTTGTTGGGGATGCCATCAAAGAGAGATGGTTTGATCCATCCCTCTGTAACTAGCCAACCTCCCAGATTCACTGCTCTGATTTTGAAGTTGGGAGTAACTCTCCCATTTGAAAGAGAGAGCGTATAACAAAGAAAGAAACAAATGCTAAGCAGTTGTCTTGTTGAACTTGTTGCCATTTGATCCTTCTCAAATACCTCTCTCTCTCTCTCTCTCTCTCTCTGTTGATGGGTCTCACTGGCTATACACTCACGCGTATATATATAGGGGGAGGGGGACTTTTTTTATAATGAATTTTTTTTAATAAAAAAGTATATATTTTGGAATGTGTATTGTATGCTTTAATTATGATATTTGTAATATTTATTTATGATCTATTGTAATATTAATTATGACTCATTATATGTTGGTTATCACCTATTGTAATTATTATTTTAATTATAATTAAAAAGATATTTGATTATATCTTATGTAATATTTAATTATTAATCATTAATTTATTTAGTTATAACAAAAAATTATTTAGTTATGAATGTCACAAATATCATAATTTACCTACCATGGCCCTTTATAGCAAACCACTATGAAGTTGATATGCCATGGGCACAGTAGGCGCAGTGCACGGACTTTTTGGCAAAGATATTCAATCAAAAGAGGGTGTGAAATCAGATTCTCCGAGCGAGACGTGAAAAATCCGAGTCCACCAGACCACTGCACGTGCGGCTCACCACTGCAAGAGCGGCCCACCTAGGGACGTGTGCACGGACTTTTTGGTCTATTTTGCTCCGAATAAAAGACAGAAAATCAGTCAGAGTTAGGGTTCGAAAATTGAATACAGAAAAGAGGGAGGCTAGGGTTCCAAAGGGGGAGCCACTACCAAAGCTTGGAAAACACTTCCATGGGAGCTTCTTCTTCATCTTCTTCCTCTTTCCACTCCTCCATGAGTGGCTAGTTGTCTTTTCTAAGGTTTTGATGAAACCCTAGCCATGTAATGAAATTTTTCACGAGCTTTCATTGTAACTTGGTTTGAATGAATGTATGGATGTTTTAGAAGTTTATAAATAATTGTTTCGTTCTTCTCTTCAAGCATTTTACTCTCTGTGATTGTTTAATGTTTTCCATACATTAGTATTCTTTGTGTTTGTATTCAAAGTACGAGACGAGTTATGCTATGAGAGACGGGTCGTTTTGCTAACATAGTTTAGAACAAACGACTCGTACTACTCGGGATGATTCGTGCCTGTACATTGAATGCAACAACCCTCTTGATCAATATTTCAAACTTGTAGTTGTGAAATATTGGATAATTCAAACCGAATTGCGATTGATGGTTGATGTTAAGTCTCATTCATGTGGTTAGTGGTGAATTCTCTACCCTAGGATTTTTTTCCCGAAAATTAATATCTCAAACCCTAGTTTTTAATTGTCAATATAATTCTTCAATTTTATTTAATTGCTGTTTAAGTATAGAATCAATCTTATCGTTTTAATCAAAATTAATTTAGGAATTTTTCGATTGAATTAATTTAATTTCACAATAGTCCCTGTGGATCGATACCTGGACTTGCCATTATTATGATTGAATTTGGTATAGTTTAGTATTTAATTTTGGTGTATTCAATGACCCATCAAATTTTGGCGCCGTTGCCGGGGACTTCTGGCGAAATTAGCTAATTTAAAGTTACATTCTTACTTTAATTTTTAGTTTAGGATTTTATGCTTTTGGTGTTGCTAAGTGTGTAGAGTGTTTGAAATTGGAGCTATCATTGAAGTGCAAGCGGAGCGCAGCCGAGCTTAAATAAAAACCGCAGCACTAAAGTGAATAAACAGAAGCAAACACTTACAAGCAAAGCACCAAAGTGCTAAAATGAAAGTCAAAGCTCAAACAGAGGTTGGAAACAACGTCTACACGTCAAACATCCGCAAGACGAGTAAAGCGTTTTCGTTAAACCGCTGTGAGTATTTATTCCTTTGGTATTTTGCTTTCATACTTAGTGCACAGAGTTGGAACTTCTTGTGTGTGTTTGGGTAGTGTATGCACAGGTGTCGTTCTTGTCGCCCTGAATTGTGGAGTTTGGACCTTGAACTAGAAAGGACCCTTAGGAGACTTAGGACCTCTGCCCGTATTCCTAGGCTTGAATATTCATACATTGAGCCATTAGAGATGGCAGATCCTAATGTCCCGAATGTGCCCAACCGGACACTTAAGGATTATTTTACACCCACTGCATATACATCACCATCATGCATCCAATTGCCCAATACCACTGCTACTCATTATGAGATTAAGTCCAGCACTATACAAATGCTCCCATCATTCCATGGACTAACTCATGATGACCCTTAAAAGCATTTGAATGAATTTCTGGAAATTTGCTCGACAGTGAGGATCCAGAATTTCACAAATGAAGCCCTTAATGTTGCGGATTATTTCTATTCTCGTTATAAGGATAAAAGCCAAACACTGGCTAAATTCTTTTACCTGCTAACTTCAATCCAACAACTTGGGACCGAATACTAGTAAACGGTTTTTGGAGAAAGTACTTTCCCATGGTAAAACCAACAAACTTAGGCGAGCCATCCACAAACTTGCTCAAATGGATGGCGAGCCATTCCATGAGACGTGGGAAAGACTTAGAGACCTTCTCCAACAGTGTCCCCACCACCAAGTGCCTGATTTGGCAACTTGTTCAAACATTTTATTATGGCTTAATGAGCCACACCGCCAAAAGGTGGATTCGTCCTGTGGTGCGGACATTTATCAAAAATGATGTCGAGGCATGAAAATGTGAGAACTTAAGTGAGAATTCCCTTCACATGCCTCCGCAGCCCGGCAACCCGTAGTGGAGCCCCGAAAAGAGGGGGCATTTATGAGGTTCGGGCAAAACCTAGAGTTAGCCAACAAGTAAGAGGCAGCTGTCCCGCAAAGGATGGACCAATTATTAGCTACGGGACATGCCGCTTACCCAACAGATCAGCCTCAATTTCACGAGGCATGTGTTATTTGTGCGAGCCCTGCTCATGACTTAAGTGAGTGCCCTTCGGCATCACAATTTCCAGAGTTAGTCCAAGAACATATAAATGCAGCTCAAGGATTCTCCAACCCGGGTAATGATCCATACTCCAACACATACAATCTGGGATGGAGGAATCACCCTAACTTCTCATGGAGACCCCCTTCACAAGGCACTTCTTACAATCCTCCACCACCAAGGCAGAATTTCAATAATTTTGCCAATCAATCATCTTACCGACCACCGCAACCTTATAGACCCCCACAACCATACCGGCAACCTTAACCATAACCCCCGCCTGTTCCTCAGGGCAATTCTGCCTTTGAAACTTAGGTATTGGAAGTTCTCTCAGAACTTAAGGGTTTAGCACCAATAGTTCACTCCCACACTCACTCTATTGCCAAGATAGAGACCCAATTGGGTCAAATGGATAACAACATGAATCAGAGAGAGGAAGGAAAATTACCAAGTCAAACTGTGGCCAACCCTAAGGGACAATACGAGGCAGAGAGTTTGGGTGGGAATGGTAAGTAACATGAGCAAGTGCAGGCAGTGGTTGCTTTGAGAAGTGGTAGGGAGTTAGAGCCTCAGTCAGTTGCGTCTGATGCAACTAGAGTTAGGAAGGGTGACCACGGTGGTTTACCTAGTGAGAGTAAGGGTGAGGGGGAAACACTTAAGAGGGATGACTTAGTCCCTAGCATTTCATTTGAGCCCAAGGCACCATATGTGCCTAAGGCACCCTTTCCCCAGTGCCTTGATACACCGTCCCCTTTTAATAAGAAGGCGACATCTATGGAGGCAATGATAGAGGTCTTTAAATAGGTAAAAATCAACCTCCCCCTGTTGGAGGCGATTAAGCAAGTACCATCATATGCCAAATTTCTAAAGGACCTTTGTACGCAAAAGCGTAAATCTAGGACACATGTGTCCCAAAAGGTCCTACTCACGGAGCAAGTAAGCTCCATCTTGTTGAATGACACACCTCCTAAGCTTAAGGACCCAGGTGCCCCAACCATTGCATGCATTATAGGGGACCACTTCATTGATAGGGCCTTATTGGATTTAGGGGCTAGTGTTAATTTGTTGCCATACTCTGTGTACGAGGAATTTGGGCTTGGCGAGTTGAAGCCCACTACTGTTATTCTTCAGTTGGCTGACCGGTCCCTCAAAGTGCCATGAGGCATGATTGAGGATGTGTTAGTTAAGGTTGATAGGTTCTACTTCCCTGTTGACATTTTGGTTTTAGATATGGAACCGGTAGCCAGTTCGAGGAAACAAATCCCGGTGATTTTGGGTTGACCTTTCTTGCCTACGGCCAATGCATGCATTAATTGTCGTACCGGGGTTATGGAAGTTTCATTTGGTAACAGTGAAACTTAATGTTTTCCAAGCATCACAACAACCTCATGAGAGAGAGGAGTGCTTATTAGTGGATGTTGTGGATGATATTGTTGAGGAGGTGAATGTCTTGCTTAATTCTTCTTCTACACCGGATTTTCCTCCATGGAAAGCCCGGTTTGAGTCACTTCCTCCTCTGTCGAGAGAGCCTGCCACACCATCTTTGGTCACACCACCTACACTTGAGTTGAAGCCACTTCCAGCCACACTCAAGTATGCATTTTTAGGGCCCCAGGAGACTTTACCAGTTATCATTGCATCTGACTTGACTGCGGAGCAGGAGAGTCAGTTAATGAGTGTTCTCGTGGCACATCGGAGTGCTATAGGGTGGTCAGTGGCTGATTTGAAAGGGATAGATCCCTCTGTGTGCATGCATTATATACACCTAGAGGAGGACACCAAACCTTCTCGCGAAATGCAACGGAGACTGAATCCTAACATGAAAGAGGTGGTGAAGAATGAGGTTTTGAAATTGTTGGATGCGGGTATCATATACCCCATTTCAGATAGCAAGTGGGTGAGTCCTACATAAGTAGTGCCCAAGAAATCGGGCATCACTGTTGTTGAGAATGAGGGAGGAGAGTTAGTCCCCACACGAACCATTACTGGGTGGCGAGTGTGTATTGATTATAGGAGACTAAATTCCTCGACTAGGAAGGACCATTTTCCCTTACCTTTCATTGACCAAATCCTAGAGCGGTTAGCGGGGCAGGGGTTCTATTGTTTTCTTGATGGCTACTCGGGGTATAATCAAGTCCTGGTGTACCCCGCTGACCAGGAAAAGACCACATTCACATGCCCTTTTGGCACTTTTGCTTACAGGC